CCCACAAATCAGAGCCCTAAATAATTTTTAGTGGATTGCATACTTTTAAACAAAAACTATTGTGTGCACACACTGAACTGGTACAAACTCTGCAGGTTTATTTCATATATTGTCTTAAATCATTTAATTTTCAGTGCTATCTGCTTATTTATTTACTCAAAAGTTGGTTTCTGGCTCTGGAAGGAAAATAAGTTAGAGCATTGTGAAATTGATTTTATGCTGATGTTAAATGTTTCAGACTAGGTTACGTTCAGCCCTAAAAATTTATCTTTATATTAGGTGACAGCAGCTGCTAGACTTTCCTATATCTATGTCAAGAGAATAAAAGCGGGCTAAAAGGTTACAATTCAACAAGTTCTATTTCCTAAGTGTAAAGAATACTTGGCTAGCTGCACTTACAACAGAAAACATTAATTTGTTTCCAATGAAAGTCAAATATTATTAATTTAAAGCCTCTTCCTCACTTCAGAATTTCAAGAATGTCATTATCCATATTCTTGGTGTTTTGCCAGTACAAGATCTGGCAAAGGTCTCTGAGGCACTTTTTTAACTCAAGGCCCTCTACTACAAAGATCTCCCACAGAAAAGCATTTATTAAGCACAGCCTATCTCCTCCTCCTCTCAGAAAATACTGCCAGACTTTCATGGTCTGCCTTCTAGATGTTCCTAATTTTCTTTTGTCTTTGCAAGAGACAAGACTGACTTGGGCTCATTTGGATTCAAGTTATAGAAATGCTTCTTACATAAAGAAGTCAGGCTCACTGTTTTCAGTATCATTTAATCTTGTGTGCTCAGAAGTCACTGCCTGAGTGGAAGGGCTGGCCCCTTTCCGCCTCAGCTTCAGTATTCTGTCCTACTGCTCACTAACTTCTGGCAAAACTAGGCAGCCAGTTCTGCTCTGGTCCTGTTACGCAAATCTGCGACATCTTCTCTGATTTTTAACATAACTTTTCTGAATGTCTTTTTTTTTTTTGCTAAAAATTAAGTTATCACTATATAAGAAATCAATCAGAATTGTTCAAACAGCAGATTTCTGGTTGCAGCTTGGAATTCAAAGAGCTTGTATCAAAGACAAACTTATTACTACTACTTTTAAATACTAACTACTATTTATTTGCATCTCAAACCTAAACTATTAGCAAACAAAAAAAAAATGACAGTCCCTGAGCCATGAAGCAAGCAAAGGACACCATATAGCATTAATATCCTTAAAAGTGTAAAAAGTGTATCCTATTAAAAGTGTAAAAAGATACAACAAGACATACAAATAAACTTCTGTGTTAAGACTGGGTAGCTGTGCGAATATCTTTTATTGTCATACATCCTCCCATAGTGCTCTACATTTTCCTTAGAGGTTAAAATGCAACTGTTTACCTCTAAACAGAAGAATTAAAAACTGGCTCCCTCTACTGTTACAAGAATGTCATCAGCAGTGATGTTTCTTTTCTGAAAATGTTTTAAACAGTTTTGTGACCGATCTTTTTTTTTTAATTGTTATTAAAAGAGGGACAATTACTTTCAAAATCATTACATAAAGAACTGAAGTACCGACAGCTTGAATTTATCTTTAACATCTGTTTTTCAAAAAAAAAAAGGGGGGGGTAGAGGCTATATCAACATATCTGCAAGCTATCCACTGCTTTTAGTAGTAGCTTCTAAATATTATTTTGCTCAAAATTTTCTCTTAAAATTAATAATACTGAGACTCAGTATATTGAATATTGTATGTTCATTTAAAAGCTTGATAGAAAAATTATAGATTACTTTGGGTTTGAATCACAGTGATCCCTTTACTTACAAATGATAAGAAAATAAAACTTTAATTGGTATATTTTGTCAGAAATCTGATGTCATTAGAGCTCAGCTTTTCATTTTTGATAAAACGATGTAATATTTTAGTTTTCTTGAATACATTGAAAGTAACATTCCTGCCACTGTTAAAAAAACGGACTCAAGTGGAGACTGAAAAGAACCAACGTACTCTGAAACAGCTTCCTTTTCAAAAATGCTTCCTTTGAACTAGCTACTTAAAATGATATAATGCAATCTTACAGAACTTATTTAGCACAAATTTGTTGGTTTCTCTGAAAAGCTACTACAGAGCCACAACGTTTCAACAGTAGGATGTAACATCTTAAACGTAAATGCATACACAGACAGGTGAAAAATGTTCTGGGGCACTAAAACTACTTTAAGCAAGATTGGTTGGACTACTGGAAGGCCTTCTGTGCTAAAAGGGAGAAACTGAATATATTAGAGGCACACCTAGCTTTGTAATCAGACTCCTCCAAAATCCAGAATCATCTACCATATTTTATAGCAAATTGCACAGCCCACAGCAGATTAGGGGAACTTTAGATCTGTAAAGTAATTAAGATTTTAAGTAACATTTATTAAAATTACACGTCATATACATTAACTGTACCAGGGGTACAAGCTTTCCCGTAAGACAGAACTATTCAGAACATAAATCAGGCCCTAAAAATAGCACTGGATGCAGCCACAAAAAAATTCCAGCAGGAAAGGCATCCGTATCAAATACAGCCTGTAAGCTTCTGAACCAGAAGAAACCACTGTCAGTCACAGGAAGACACTGCATAATTCACTGTTTTTATGGAACTTTCTTGGGCATTTTCTCTGCTATTGCAAAAGGTACTTCATAAATGTTCTACCAAAAAACAAACTGCCCTAAAAAGGCACCGAAATAGAAAGAAAAAACAGCAGCACGAGTGCTGAATATTAGTAGTCTTCTATAGCTTTGTTTACTTACAACCTGAATTACTTATAACATGTAGTTCTTATTCTAAAACTTAGATAGCAAACTCCTTTTGACAGTGATCTGTTGAATTTATCACAAAAATCTTCCAATCATCCCCATACCAAAAATCAGAGTTAAAAGACTTCATCAAAGAGATGGACATTCAATAGAATCCTAAAAGGCAGAAAGAGAGTAACTTTCCCACCGCTCTTACTCATAGAAGATGGGCACTGCTATTTTCATTCAAAACACTGCTTCTAATCAAAATAAAAAATTCTTAGCACAGAAAGGGAGGAAAATATGGCTGTTATCAAAGGGTTTCCCTCAGGTCTGTCACGAGGAAATGCTGAGGAGAGACGTGTAGCTCCGCAGGGACTGTAAACCAGGAACAGCTGGGAGGGCTACAACACAGCTTAAATCCAAAACTTCTCTCTGGACAACGCAGGATCTTATCCTGTTTCCCCCCAAACTTTTCCCTAAGTCAGTGTAATCTGATTAAATCGAGCTGTGTTTTTTCAGCAGCCAAATGTTGACTAGCGCAAAACATACTGTAGGAACAGATTTCAGAGAGAAGAACAGAGGTTGCAACATGGATTCTTCATACCAACTCCTAAAAAATGAACACAGGTGGAGCCAGGACGCACATAGATGAAAGAAGACACAAAGTTCCTACCCTTGATCAAGCAATTGCGTGACTTAGAAGATATTCATCTATTCCTGATTAAGTCCAAGTTTGAACATTTATTTTGGAGTAAGAACATCACGTTTGACAATTTTCAGGCATAGGTCAATCATTCAGGACAAGAAAACCCCCAAAATTTCTACCTTCAGTTGCAGTAAACCAATTCATATGAACAAAAGATCTTGTTATATATACTGAGGCAAAAAGATTGAATCCCAGCTCCTTTACTGTAGATAGCCACAAAGTTTACACAGCATTTGTATCAAGAAAATACAGCCACAATAGAAAAGACACGTGACTGTACCTCTTGGTAGTTAGTTAAGAGCACAAGTACACCTCCACACCCTCTGGAGACCCTCCGCCACCCCTCAGGCTGTGCGTTCGTTGTTCAGCATCGCGGGCTGCCTGCGGCTCGGTTTAATATCGACGTTACCACGTTTTGTTAGGCCTGCCAGCACAGAGCGGGGAGGCTTGAGCTTACCTAAGACACCTATGTACCGTGCAGCTGCCCTGCTCTCGGCTGAGGCCTTCGTGCTGCTGCGTGACCCACGGCCGAGTGGAGATTTGGGTGGCGCTCCCGAGCCCCCGACGCTTTCCCAGCAGCCTCCCTCCCCTCAGGGTCTCACACTCACCCTCAACCTGCCTACTTTGGCTGCAAAATTGGGCCAAGGCACAGAAAAGCATCCTGGCCACTGCCCAGGCTGCCACATGAGTTCATACGGTCTCCACTGGGGCGCGAGGCCACCACCAGCGCCCTCCTTGACTTCTCGCCGCCCCATTTCCCTCCCTCCCTGGGGGCCAGCCCCCCCCTCAGCCCTCAGCCCCGGACGTCTGCCTCGACAGGACAGGTGCTGCCGGGGGCGCGAGGAGGGGTTTGCCAGGGAGCCCGTCCCCGCCACGAGGCGCAGGCGCTCGGGGTCGGCCGCCACTCCCGTCTGCTGCGTCGAGCAGTTCTAGACAAGTCGGTTCTCTTTCTCCTGCCTCAGTGTCCCTGTTTGAAGAACGGGAAAGGTTATGCTTGTCATGTCTGTGGAACGTTTTTGGTAGAGAAGAATTAAAAAAAAACAAAACGAAAAACCCCAACAACTTAATTATTAATATTCCCCTTGGCAATTTCTGTAATTCCTCATTTCCAAATCCAGCTTTTTCCACGTTTTTCACCTAGGCAAAATCCAAGTGTTCTCTCAGATCTGCCTATAAAAAGAATGGAAATATAGGCAGATAATTAATTATGCAGTAATATATGCACTACAAATTGTCCCTGTTCATGCTCACTCTGTGGTGAGCAAAAGATGCTATATACTTACTTCGTGAAGTTATCATTAATCACTTCATATTTTTCATAGGCAAAAGTACAAATGGGCACTTCTCATGTACCAGAGGAGACCACTGTTACCTGCTGCCAGTAGGTACCTTTCATCCTCAGCAAGCTTATCACTGGATCTGTGCAATGCCCCCGTGTGACAGCAGGTGGAAAAAGCTTGATTTTGCTCTGTTCAATCCTGAGAGTCTTCTCCTAGAGATTTTTTCAGTGAACAACAGCTTTCCCACAAATCAGAATATTTCGACAAGTTTTTGTATTTTTCTCTCTACATATAAGTTAGCATTAGGAAATATACAAACATTACAGTAAATACAACAGTATATTTCACATTTTCAAACTGGTGTGCTTTTTCTCTTAGGTTCAGTCAACTCTGCTTCCCAAGATGACTGGAAAGGTGCCTGGCGCATACAATACATTAATACTGGTAGGGAAAAGAAAAGCCCAAATACCAAATTACAGGGCACGCTGGAAAACACAGTACAGAGACTCTGCACAGAATTAACTGAGGTCCAGCAAGAGTTACAAATTCAGGCTATCAGACCATAAAAAACTTGTTTGCAAAACGACCTCATTTACCGTATGCCTCTTTTGCCAGCACAGAACCAGATTATGTATCTGAAATGTGAGCTGTCTGGGATTCTGGAACATTCTGGAACACTGTGTTCTAGGTGTCAGGGACGTTCTGGCTACCTTCAGACTTAGAAAGGGATAATGTTGCACTCAGACTTTACCTTCGCCTCATTCAATTTTGAGCATTTTGTAGCGTTGACAAAGGTGCATCGTGGACCAACTTTCATGCACAGTATTTTGTCAGCCCCCCACTCCCTACCAAAAACACGTTCTGAGGAGTTTCTGATGATGTTGGTTCCTAGAAAACTTTCTAGGCTGCTGTGCTTCATCCAGCACTAGTTCTTTTGGACAGAAAGACAGCATTTTAAGACTGTTTGTACTTACAGTAAACAAGCTAATAAGGAACTAAGAATAAGTGAAGACAAAAGAGACACTGATGGTTTCATTTTAAGGGCAGTTGAGATGCCACACGGGGTGTTCCTCCACCATATGGCATAGCATTGCAGCAGTTCCACCCATCTTCTTCAAGGAAGATTCAGACCCTACCAGTTATGTTTGTAACATTCCTCACTAACAGAGCTGCAGCAATAAAAACTCAAAGCTGAAAGGGGTAAGAGAACCTAGGGGGGGGGAAAAAAGAAAAACTAAGAATCTTTGGCCCCACTGGGTTTTATTTTATATGGATTTGAGCTATGACAGCTTGCTTTAATGTCCCCCAGTAGGCTTCTGCTATCAAAATCAACTAATTTACCTGTCAAATCAAGAAAGTGATAAGATTACAGGTTTTAGGTAACTACTATTCCCAGCTAGACTTCTTGCATCATGCAAAAGTAATCAGATCCTACTCTGCTGAACAGTTGATGCCATATTCCTTTTTTGATTCCTTTCAAATATGACGTTCAGCACAGAAATGACACACTAGAATTTAGTAGTGTTAATACAGCTCTTTAACCCATTGCTAGCTAGTGAAGATTTTACATTCTTCATTGCATCTCCCCCATTTGATCAGAAACACAGTACTTATCTTTGTTGCCCCTGCAGGGTAGTATTCTGATCTTTATCTTCTTCCTCCTTTATGACAAAAAATTGAAAACAAGAAGGTATTTCTTTATCTGCACTTCTATACAGCACAGTTGGTTTCGGTTTTGAGTATGCAAAGGAATGATGGAATAGCTTATATGCGTCTCAGACCATTTCCTCGATTCTTTTGAGTGCCTCTAGAACAGCTTCTTAGGTATTAAAAAGCTGACCAAAGTCCCCATGACTCACTCCAGACGTAGAACTAAGCAGAATTATCCAGTTCACCAGCACCCCCATCTTCCTCAGGATGCTTTCCTTACGGAGAAGCCCTCAACTGGTTGAAATCTGTTCCCTTACTAAAACTCCCTTTACTCTTCTATTAAAATGGTACTATTTGGAACCCATGTCAACAGACTTTAAGAACCTGTCTAAGCTTTTACGTGGATTGAGAATTTGCTGATCACAAAGCACGTGTGGCAACAGAACTGCTGATTAGGATGACTTTGCCCACCTGACCAATGAATAACCCAATGAGGTATACAAAAAAACCCTAAGGTTTGTCCAGTTGGATGCAGAAACATACTCCAATTCTTTCCTTGTGCTCACTTCTGTTTTTTCAGATGCTGCAAGAACTTTTCCTAATATATTTCCTCAGCTCCTGCTACAGTTATCTTTCAGTTCACTCCTGTTGAAGGAGCAACAGGATTTTGCCTTCCTTCATAAGTATACGAAACAACCATCCAAGAAGATAAAGAGAGACTTTTAACTCCCTCATTTCCTCAGTATATGCCAGCTCTTTTGCTTCTAAGCAAAGAGTGATTTCAGAACCCATGGAACTCCTGGAGATAAAGCCACTATTCTCACACCTTAGGATAAGGCTCAGTATTTCAGAAGTTTAACATGGGCCTACTGGCCTCAGTTTTTTGCCTCATCTTTACGGTCCGATTTTCTTTTACTAATTTGAAAATTTAGCACCAGAAACCTGTTAAAGGGAAGGTATGACAGTCTTAAGTATGTACACAGACATAGACACACAGTAATCCTCACTTTGCTCCTGGTCTTGAGAGTGGTCCTAGTGGTCAACCTTTGTGAACTATGGTTCCTTTTCTTCACCCTACTTCCGGGCTATATCCCAACATAGATTTAATGGGGTGGAGCTGACTGAATACTGCAGCTTACTAACTGCACGCAAGACAGCATGCAGTTTCTATATGAACAGTATCACATTCTGTTAGCCTATTACAGCATTAAAAATTAGAACAGGGTAGGACAAGGGCAACCAGGAAGTAGAACAAGTTGTTTTTAAATTAGAAATTCTTTTTACCATCAATACTCCTTTCCTTCAGAACAACTTTAGAATCTTTAACAATGTAGATATCACAAATCTTTGAAAGCATTCCAAATATTTCCCACTGAGGTGAGTTGTGAATTTACACTTTCTAATTTAAAATTTTCCTCTCCCAACTACTCTAAGGTAGTAGTACCTCACAACCTGAATGAACAAGCAAATGGATTTTCTTAGTTTGTTTTCACTCCATGGCACTAAGATTTTTACCCATATATACACTACTTCCTAGTTGCCTGCAATATCCAAAAGGCGTTTACCAGTAAATTATTCATATAATATTCAATTTTACCCATAGCAGCACTTTTATAGTTGCTGTTATCTGTCTTGAATTTAATTTTTTTTTTTTTTTGTATAAGAACTAGCATTTCTGAGCATCAGTCAGAAATCATCTTGACCATTACAAACAAACAGATGCACAATGCCACCTTGTGACAGTACTTCAACACCACACCAAATATTTACTACTCCGGTATAGCAATCACCAATTGCAGTTCATAGACCTCCAGAGTATACAGACTACTTCCAAAATCCACAAAAAAGGCCTAATGAAAGCAGGCTGACATACAACACAGCAGTATTCATATCTGAAAATACTAAAAGGATTTGTGGTATTTCCATTGAGATATGTTTAGAAGATCATAAATTGAAGGAGGTACTATTAGAGCATAGGTTTTCTACAAAGTATCTATACACTACATGCAACCCCCCGACCATGTTACCTCCTAGGTGCACGGCTTAGGCTATATTAGGTTATGCATATGTCTGGAAAATATGTCTGAAGATGTAAGAGTCACTTTTCATCTTCTGATATGATTTTTCCCCTTTGAGAAAAGGAGTTTTAAAAAGTGCTAACACTATTTTGAAGTGATAACAGTTCTTGAGAACTGCTTGATAACGGTTCTTGAGAACTGCTACTGCTTTAATAAGCTCAGTTCAAGTGAAGCAGAAGATTTGGGTTTTTTTCATAGAAAATATTAATACAAATCTGTAGTAGCAGCAGTTTTTAATTTACCAAAAACCTGGCATCTATTAGCAATAGAAACATACACAAAAAATATCTTTGTTTATACAAATAAAATTAGGTTCTGAATATTCACAAAGTAACACAACACAAAGCAACATTTCCCTCCACATTGACATTCAAAATTAGACACATCAGTTGTGATATAAAAACCCTGTAAAATACTCAGTCAAGCACCATGGCAGACAATGCATTAAGATCTCTCATAAATGGATGGTCAGCTAGTATTTGATCAATCTTCTGTCTTTGCTCATAATCAGGAAATATTTTTATCAGGGCTTCTCTTAGCTGTACTGTTTCTGAGGCAGATCTCTGTGGTGGAATTGCTAGGCAAGTCTGTATGTTTGGTTCCAGCGGAAGCCAGGTTGGTGAACGATCGCCACGTATTTGGTTTTTAGGCTGTCGATTGCTACTAGTTGGTTTGGGGACTGGCATGAAGAAAGGTTTCTCAGAAGAATATTGTCCACTGCTCTGTAAAGCCTTCTGTGCTGACAGAAAATCTCTATGGAACAAAATTAAAATCTTTGATTAAATTAAGGTAGAGGAGATGCTAGCTGTCTCTGTACAACCACAGAAAAGAAGAAAAGCCTTCAACGCCTACATTTTACTACTGCTCAGCTAATTATTGATTAAAAAATGCAGTCATTTGATTCCAAAGTGAAACAAAACAGTAGGTTTAACAATTTTCAATTTGAATGTGGAGTGACTAACAATATCTAATTAACATTATCTAGGAGACGTTCCAATGTGCTTTTAGAATATTGTGACATTAACTTGGCAGAATACAGTAAAAACAGCCAAAAGCTTATTTTATAGAAGTATCAACTTCAGTATTACAGAGCTAAATTATCATTAAAAATACACTGAACGCACGTACAGTGACTCAGAACATGTGAAAATACAGACAGACTATAAGGGGCTTCAGCTGCTCCACAAGACCATTCCTCATCTACTTTTGCTCATGACTGAGAGCTATCAGCCATGCCTACACTTAGGATCAAGGCCATAATCTGCCTCATTTGATATCCCTAGTAAGGGCAATTAATTTTTTCAGCAATTTCAGGATCTGAATAGTCTTCCTTAAAGACTGAGATTTTGTTTCAAACTTGGTTTAAAAAGTTGTTGTCACTTTCAACTGCTAGTACTATAAAATTTAGGGCTGCTTCTACTTCTGATGCCACTAGATAACACAGAAGTATGAACTGGAATTCATGATACAGTCCATTCTCCTACTGCTAGAGGAAACAGTACATAAAATGTATGGAGCTCTACTTTTAAAAGCAATTAGGGGACCACCTACTGCTACTCAATATGGAAAGTTCTCTAATTGCTTGAGATCTAGTTTCTGATTTTACTCCTAGCAACCAATGGTGCCATTTATGCTCACTGTGTCATTTAACTCACATAGAAAACTCTCAGGAAAGAACAAAATCAACTCTTTACACTGACACTTTCTCTCTCTCCAAAAAAATCCCATATAGTTAGTAAACCAAGCTCTTCTAGACTTCTCAAAAGAAAGGAGCTCTCCTTTTCCACACTCATCACCGCCATCTCTCAGGACATGCTCTGTTTTCATTTCATTTTTCTTGAACATAGGCGACCAAAACATAATGTTCCAAAAGACATCTCATAAGAGCTTTACATCAGAGTTTGAATATTTCCTTAACATTTCTTTTTGCAGTTCTAGAACTGCATTCGCTTTTTTCATGCCTACATCATATGGCTATTTTCAGTCAACCTATGATCAGCTGGTACATACATGTCTCCTTTTCCTCAATTGTTTCCAATAGATTAGTTTCTTGCTTATACTTTCTATTAGTATTTAAGTGCATAGGCTTGCCTTTTGTACAACTGATTTTTTAATTACTTCATCACTTGTTTCTAAAAGCTCTCAGCACTCCTCACTACCATTAGCATTTATAATTCCTAAGCTGGTGAAAGAAGTGCAAAGAAGAGCTTATTATCTCATGCAAAAGAGTAAATCCATTCTCAAGTCTTGGCAGGTAATGCAGAGCAAGTTCATACTTTTTAATATATACATTTAAAAATAGAATGATCTTAAGAACAAGATCTATGTAGCTATTAATTTTTAAAAGTATGAATAAAATACAAATGCATTTAATAATAAAATCAATTTTAAGAGGTATTGCTAATAGCACAGTGCAGTACCCTCAAGATACCCTGTAGCGTGAAACACCTCTCCTGTGACAAAGGGTATGAATTTAGACTGCTTTTTTTTAAAGTACCTGTTGTCCCATAATGCGTAAGTGATCAACCGAGATACTTTAGACAGCATCATTCTCATTTGCAGGATACCAGACTACCACATATCCAAACTACTGGTAGGTTTGTGCAATATTAACACGCTGTTTGGACCACCTTTGTGTGAAAGCCACGACAACCAAACCTCACAGGAAGTTACTGAGGCATTTATCTTACTTATCTCAGATTTGATTGAGATCTTGATTAGATGCAAGCATCACCAGCAGTTTCTGAACAGACTGAAGTAACAGGAAAAAACATGTTTTTGTTAAGCTACTACATCCTAATAAGTAGTGTCCTTGCTTAATATTACTGTACCTTTAACAGTGAAAGTGAAACAGGAAAGCAGTTCATTCCACATCTAAAATCATAGCTATCTCAAAGAAAAGTGAAAACAGTGCTTATACCTAGAGCAGCCTTCACTGCGAAGGAAGTCATCTAATCTGGGTCCATTTCTTCCTAAAGGATCATCAGGAACCATAAATATGTCCCCAGCAAAAGTGTACTGGAGCAACCTGTAAGAGAGTTTTTTCAATATTACTTAACATTAATGTATATTTTCTTCCCCTTCACCTCTGTAGCATAAGTCACCTTAAAGCAGAAACTTCATACCATACTAGGAGTCCCTGAAGCCTAATTAGTGAACACCCGTTTTAGTTACAAACAACATTCCCATCAAAACAATTCAATGGGCGATTATGTGAATTGTTCCCATTGCACTGCAAAACACCTAGTTCTTTGACAGAAAATGTTGGGTGTGTCCCCAGCAAAAGTGTACTGGAGCAACCTGTAAGAGAGTTTTTTCAATATTACTTAACATTAATGTATATTTTCTTCCCCTTCACCTCTGTAGCATAAGTCACCTTAAAGCAGAAACTTCATACCATACTAGGAGTCCCTGAAGCCTAATTAGTGAACACCCGTTTTAGTTACAAACAACATTCCCATCAAAACAATTCAATGGGCGATTATGTGAATTGTTCCCATTGCACTGCAAAACACCTAGTTCTTTGACAGAAAATGTTGGGTGATGGCTTTTTAAAAAAAAAAAAAAAAAAAAAAAAAAAGAGGTCAGGGTGGAATTTTCTAGATGATTTGAGAATATCTTCTGGTTGTTTAAACTCCCCTTCCTTGCCAGGATGTTCAAATAGCGAGCTAAAACGCATACATTACCAGACAGTCAAACAACTAGTGAACATGGAGTTAGCTGTTTACTGATAAGAGACAAAGAAGTGTTTTTTCTGGAATCATTTTGGGACAGTGGGAAATGTGCACTCAAGGAAAACAGCTCAACCAAAATTTATCTGCAAGGAGAGGATCTGGTAGAGTGGAATTCCCCCAGAACTAAAACTGATAACAGATGTTAACACAACGTCTTGAAAACCACAGACTCTGAATGACGCACTAAGTGTACTTGCTGAAGTACTGTAGAAGAACAGAATCCAGCTTAGGCAAAACTTGCTCAGAAAACAGGGTAAATACCTACATAACAAGCTAACATAAGTTCCATGCTCTTCCAGCTATATTATGAAAACCCAAGCCAGTTTTCAATTATTTATTTCAGGTAAAACTATACAGACGCCAGTCACTGCAATGCAGATATACCCTCAGAAGATGTCTGGGAGATAAGAACTCTGACAGATTAATGGGAAATTTGGGCAAAGGAGATTAACAGTAGATCATAATTTCATAGTAAGAGGATCTGGTTTAACTGGAAAGAAAAAAAGAAACAGACTGCACAGCAGAAACTCATTCACAGAGAATCCAGGTGTCAGTTCTGGGATATCTGACAGCTAAGTCGACTCATCTAAACCCAAAGGACACTCAACAATTGCAAGGAACAGCTGCAGGGAAATGTTTTAAGTGTTTATTTTGTTTAGCTATGTCTATTTGTTGGGCTACAGTAGAGTGATTGATTCTGAAACGTTAACAGCAGACCTGCGTGTCTGTGTTATCATGTCTCCTAGAAGGAGTGATATGTAGATCAAGAAAGCCTGTGGAAACAGACCTCAGAGAGGGTATACTTTAACAGGATATAACACTGAGCTTCAGAAGGGACACAGCTTGGCTGCTACACCAAGCTTCTGGTCATGTGAAGAAAAAAAGAGAAGTGCATTAGAGAATATATGAAAATCAGGGACATTAGCCTATTCAAGATATGATTATTAGGCCATGTATTAAGGTGATGGAACTCAAACACAGTAATCTTTTGGGCTCTACCAGAGTCACATGACAGACTGCCTTTATGATGTGTTTTTTTTTTCTTTTTCTTTTTTTATTATAGTGCCTATAACTGTACAGACAGGCATCCTTTAAGCTTTCTTAGAAACACAAGTAGTTACCTTTTCTGAATAATTTCTCTCCAGGCAAGTGATTCTGTCACAAATTCTCTGAAGTTATCGTTAGTCACAATAACACCTCCCGTTCTATCAGCAAGATGTAATAAAAATCTGTAACATTCATTTCAAAAACAGTTAAGATAGTCTGCCTTGCTCAAAATTGTCCAAAGATCTAGAAAATTAAACATCTCCATCATTCAAAACGAGTGTATTTACATGAAAATTTGAAAACAGCCATTTTCATTACCAAGAAATTACTTGATTTTGACCTACCATATAAATTTGAACAGTAATGCTTTAGGTAGCATTAGTTTTAGTGCAGTAGAGTCATTATGGAAGGCTAAAAAGACACAAGATTCTGAAGTATTTGTAGAGGTAAATGGTATGCTTTACAGAAGAGTACGGTATTTCATATACATTCCAATCCAAGTTTATTTCCACATACTTTTTTTGCTTAACGTTAATGTCCTTGCTTTTTGCTAGCTGAAACACTGCATGGAGACTATTTCAGAAGAAAGTGAATGGATTTTTTTTTTTTTTAGGGAGGCATATACACTTTTGACCATAAGTGCAAGTACGTTAACACAACACTGACTTCTAAAGTAATCCCAGCTGTACCTACTGCACCTATACAGCATGTTATATCAAAGCTGGGTGTATATAAAATATTGCAGGTATAGAGCTAGCGTGAAAAAAACTCCAGCTTGGCTGCCTTCTACATAATTCTGTTTCTGCTGTAACATTATTACTTAACAAATCTGAGTTGCTGTATTTTCACAAGGAAAATATATAAAGTGTAGTGCACTTAATTTATCTTTTGCACATCAAGTTTTGCAATCAGGTACATAACTGTACAATTAACAAAAACAGGCACACCCATGATGCAAGCACTTGATGATTTTGTAGTTAGAATAATAAAGTAGGAATGATTATTAGTTAGAAGGCAGAAACTGAGGTCCAGCGAACGGCAGCTAGCAATTTCAAAGCTGCAAACTGCTTATCCATGCAGAATTAGGAAAGCTGGCTGTGCAAAGAACTTGCTAGTATGCTCTTCTAGTTGTGTCTCAAGACTGGGAGAATTCAGTAACAGCTACGCAGTCACTAGGGGACTGCCCTCTCCCACAAAGCTTCCACACACCTAAAGCTTACTGCTGACTTGTTTGCTGAGAGATGATCCCCAAATTTTGAAGCTGAACTCTGTTGCTTGAAATAGCTTGGAAATTTAGCAGTCTAAACATTGCTACAAATACAGTGATCCAAACATCTGTCTGTGTCTAGGTGCCCCAATGGTATTAAAAACAACAACCACCACCCCCACCACCCTGCAGAACAAAACAGTAACTTTCAGGAGCTGATTTTTACTAGAGTTCTACAAAGTTAGAGGCCATCCAGAGATAAATCAACAATCAGGAAAGCATAACACATTATTAGAAAATTCATTTCTTTCTGAAGACAAATGATGAAATTTGAAATGGATTCACTTAGCAATTTTTTTTGTTAAAATTGCCATGATAAAATTGCTATTTTCCATTAATTTCTGAAAACTATATGTACAAAATTACTACAGAATTATGTATTTTACTATCACAAGAAACAGATTTCTAGATGTAACAGATATAAAGCTCAGACACATAAGCTGGAGGCATAGTTCCTTTCCAAATAGGCTGAAGAACTGACTAATACTATCACATATGAAGTATTAATGTTGCAACCATTAGTCAAATGTTTAAAAAGATTGTAACACTACACATGTTCCATACCTGTCATCATGAGCAGCAATTCTTGCTCCCAAAACCATCCTTGCAGGGGTTAAAGACAATATTCCAACATCCTGGAGCTGTGTTAAGAAATGCTGCTCTGTTGAAACATGAAACAAATGTTCAGTTTTAAAAATAAAAACTTTCCTCTGAGCTATTTAGAGATTTGATTTAGTCTGAGAAATAATTAGCAGAGAAGGTGGACTATTTCTCTACCTATTAATCTATAGGAATGGCCTGTTGACGGTTAGAGATCTGCTAACATTACAAAAATGGAAGAGGTTGAAACCAGAAATTAAAGATTCTCTAATAAAAAAAAAAAAAAACAGCCTCCACCTACGGCATATCAGCTGGCCTGTAAAATATTTCAGAGAGTGTCCCAAGATGTATGTTGAAATAAAAAGATGCATGCTGAGCAGCCAGAACTCTCATGCTTCAGTTTTATCAAGTTTTGCTTCTCTACGTTATTCCCAGAAGTATCCAATTAGTTATAACTTTGTTTAATAAAGAAAATGATAATAAAAGAAACATAAGGAAATTATTTGCCTCACCTGTAATGTAAGGATCACGTCTGGTTCTCCACTGTGGAACAAACACAGTAATATTTCTGTGGCCACGTTTCCAAAAGTAATCAACAGCTATTGCAATTCCTCGACAGGAGAAGAATTTCCTTAGACCATGACTGGGGGAGGGGGGAAGAATACAAACGTCACTTGTAACTTAACTCAAAAGCCTTTCCAAAGACAGACAGGTATATCACTCAGTCCACTTTGAGTTTCGTGGGCAGAACTACATTTGAGTCACCAGAAGAACTGGGTTTTCCTTTAAAAGAGGCTGATAACGATGGTTTCAGAAACCTACTGATAATAGATCAAAACGATCAGCATCCAATTCATGATAGTTCCAAATACAGTCCTACTATGAAACAGAAGTTGGTTCAACTGGTTCCGAAGGATTAGAAGGGACAATAAATCCACTCATAATCTAAGATATTAGGGCCTCCTTCCCCTTTACTTCCACAATCTGAGCTGTTGTTTTCAAGCAAAATAATGCAATTCCTTTGAAGAATGACTTTCAAAATACTGTACTTCAGTGGTAATCATTTCTTCCTATTAAAGGAGTAAGATACTTATTTCTTCCTGTTTATGCAACTCAGTTAAGTGGCTTGTTAGCAAACTAACAAACAATTGCCTAACATAAACAATACTGAGATTGGAATTGATGACCTCCTGAGGTCTTTCCCAACCTAAATTATCCAGTGATCCAATATATCTACTTAGCAAAGGGCAAAAAGTCCTTCTTTAGTTATTTACTGGCTAACCAGGTTCTAAGAACTGGGATTCAAGCAAATAGGAATCTTAAAATAAGACACAAAAGACCAACTGAGAATTATCTCCAGAATAAAATCCTACAAAACACCTAATAGCAGGTTACATAAGGTTAACTCCAGTTTTAATTCAGAAACTTTTCTCTCACATTTATTTTCATGAATGAGAGGCTAGACTTAGGAAAAAACAAATATATGCTTAGTTAGAGAACAAATATATGCTTAGTTAGAGAAGGTATCTATGCTGATTGTAATAAAACTACAATTGAAAATGGCATGATCAGACAAAGCATTTCTTACAAAAAAGTATGTATTCCACCTTTTGAGTTAGATAAATGACTGAAGTGATTTACGTAATAATTGATCAAGTGGTAATCATATTTTAGACTGCTCTTATAATAGTATATAGATAATGTATTATAATATAATATGCAATATAATGTATACTATAAGCCTAATAATAAGCCTTACCAGTTTTGAGTGCAATCTTATCTGTAAACTCCCAGGTTAACCTACCAGTAAAATGTCTAAACAGAGTTTTTTAAAACATTCCCATGCAAATGTTTTACAGTGAAAGACAACCTTTAGTAACATTCAAGGACCCCTTCCTAGTTTTCTAAACTCAGTTTAAAATAAATGCATCAAAATATAAATCTGCAAGCTTCTCCAACTGAGTTGGAGGAAAGTGTTCTATGCAGAAGGGCAGAAAAACAAACAAAAAATTCAATCATAACTGTAAAAGGGGGGAAATCTGACTTATTAACTCACTGAGTTTCTGAAAGGAAAAAAAAAATCTTATGCTGTACTTGCCCTAGTAAAATTAATTTTCTTTACATCAAGAACAGTTAAAGAAATGCAACAGTCACAGAGGATTTACCCCTCATAAATCTTCTAAGTTCTGAACTTAGAATGCAGTCCTAATCTTAAATTTTATATTTTAAGTTAGGTATGTTATTCAATAAACTAGAAAACTGTTCAATACTTTTACTATTTTAATGGCTCTCAGCTGCACTTCAGGGGACGCAAAGAACTCAATGCTCATGTTGCAAGCTATGCTTTCTCCACTTCTCCATTCTCTTATTTTAGAACTTTACACCTGCTGAATTGCACGACAATATTCTTCATTTAAAAAAGTTTATTCAAGGGTGGTCTTATCTTCCAAACATCTATATCAAAAGACTGCATCTGTTCCCCAGTACTCACTGTAAACATATACTACTGTTTCCAGCTATCTCAGATCTTTAAAAGCCTTTTATAACCCTAAGACAGTATTTCAGAAGTTAAAGAGATGATCATAAGCCAGACAAAGCAGTAAACAACAAAAGCCTAGGCTGCCTACAGATTGATTTCCAGGCCACATCAAGTTTTTCTTTTGATTCTGTAACTGAATTAAGAAAAGCATGTATCATGACTTACAAATTATTCTAGCAACATATAACTCCATCAACTAATTCCTTTACTCTGTTGCAAGTTTTTTCAATATTTTAATAAAATTTAATTTAAAAGGACCAAACACCTATCTGAATATTTCAATCGACCATGAAAGGCCTGTTTTCAGCATAGAAAAAGGGGCAGGCTTTAAAATACTTGCTAGGGATTAGACTAAACTCTAGGCTTCCTCTCATTCAACAACCATATTGAAACTACAGCTGTCAGGCCTACGCAAGGATTAATGTATCAATGTATAGTTTTTACTAGGCTGTGTATGTCAAAAAGAGAAACATTCAGCTTCTTACAGTCTTCCAGAGCTAAGCTACAAAGTAGTTGAAAAAATCAAGCCCATTCAGCCTTAGTCCAAGCATGCAAGCAAAGCATTAATTCCTTCAAAATAGCAGGACACTTAGAAAGCCAAAACATATAGTAATAGAAGCAGATATCCATACCCTCAAGGAAGTGGAAAGTAAAACTGATAGCCTAAAAAGAAAACAATTTTTCACTTTCTAACCTGAAAGAAAATACTAAGGCTTTATTTAGCCAGAAGGAAGCTGCAAAATAGCTACGTAAAGAAACATCAACCCTCCCTGCATTGCTTATTTATCAGGGCATTTAAACATCTCAGTGGTTCTGTTATTTTTGGTCAGTTTTTCTGTCCTTTGATTTTCATAAGCAGAATTTTCATTTGGCTGAACAGCCAGAGGCAGATGTTACAGAACCGCATTTGGGGAAAGTACACCAAGAACATCAGACCGCTGTGCCCTACAGGTGCCTCACAGCCTTCCGAGAGCTAAGTAGATGTTTATTCACCATCTTTTAATTGATCGCTTTCAGATTGTGTTTGGTGGTTCTTAAAACACAACAGAAGAAAAGCAGGCCTCATCATACTGTACTCCGTATCTGCTGACACGTAATATACCTCCTTGTCTGCTGGAAGGACTATACATTCTGTCTTACAACAGACTGCTGTGCTTAACAGTTGCAGATGAAACATGTAGAAGAAAATCCCTCCAAATTTGAAAAGCCAAGAGGATGTGGTGTGTTATTTTCTACATGACCCCAACAATTTGCATTTCTTTTCCATTAATACACATCTGGGAAATCATTCTAAAGAGTTCAAGGTAGCTTATGACTCAGTCGTGACTTGCACTTTTACATCACTATTTTCTAAATAACAGAGTCTGAACAATGAGGAAATAAGTCTGCTTTAAACACTATTTACCGTAACAAAACTCTGTACACTTTTTTTATTCACGGAGTGTCAGAGTTGTGGCTCCTGTAGGGTTTCCCCCGAAAGCTAGCAGGACTATAAGAGTCAAAAGACAGAAAATATTCATCAACTAGTTTGATTAACCCTTCAGTGATCGAACTGAAGAGTTTTTATGCTGCCACTCAAAAGGAATAGTGCTGGGCTTTTAACCTATGGAAATCAATTCATAAGGATGATTACCACCTTCTTCAGTCAATGACCACTTGGTAGGAAAGGTTATATACTACAGTCTTCCTACATTCACTCTTACAAACACAGTGAATCATCCAGATTTACTTTTGACTCCTTCCTGGTGCTATAGAGACTTTCTGTACTAACTACAAATGGTTCTATGACTACACTACTAGATCCTTGCTCCTCAAATTGCATTTCAAGCTAACAGTCTTTGAAAAAGTTGGTTTTGTTCTGAACAGTGGAAAACAGTGTTCCAGGAAGATTGTGTGCAAACATATATGAAGCCTGTCAATAAAACAGACAATGTGAGTTTTTTTTTTTTTTTTTTAAATGTGAAAGAAGTTTAGAACACTGTCAGAAATATTCCTGAATGCACTGTATGTTTAGGAATTTCAAGGTGTCCACTGGTAGTCTATGTAAAGTATCAGCAAATACTAAGGTATCCAAAAAGAAATCATCAGGCTATGACTACAGGTAGAGGGAAGAAGTTGAAATTTATTCCCTAGCTTGCTGAAATAAGAGTACTAACAGTTCTACTACTCTACTTTATGAAGGTTTCCATAATGGACTTATGAATTCTGTTTGAGTGGAGATGTTGTGCAGAAAAAAAGGAGTCAGAAGTATTTAGTAGCCCTAACAACTGATTAGGTTTTGCTAGTCCATGAACCCTGTTTAAAAATAAGTTTAGGAGTTACAGTAGATCCATCACAGCCATGAAAGAACAATACCTAAGGGCATCTTTGTCTAGATCCATGAAACTAGAAGCATGCAACCATATTTTTTTCCATTAACACAACTGTGTTTGTGTACAAAGAGACAAGATCTGTGTTTATACATTTACTTCTGGGAGACCATACCAGCTATCAATGGTACAAAATATTAAATTCATTTTAGGACAGGTTTAGACATTATTTTCTAGTTATGGTATATAAAATGAAAAATAGCTCTTTCAGAAAAAGTTTATTTTCTTCCCCTAAACAGTACTTAAGCTTCTTTTGGGAAGCAACTTTCATCTAATGGCTAGGAGCAGATGAGATCTGTTACACATACCTTAACCAGCTAGGAGTGTTTTCCTCAGCATAAAGGAGTATTATACGGAATTGATAGGACCACTGGTAGCACTCTAGCCTACTCTTAGGAAATACCCAATTAAAGAATTAGTTCCAACCAAATCTAAGATAGTATGGCTGCATTAAGGCTCTTCAGGATTTCCAGTGTTTAGGATTAAAGTCTGTACTTTAAAAATAGTTAAAGTGTTTAAGAAACAGGATATATAGCCTATTCGCTCTCCACTCTATCTGGAAATGGAGAATGGTCTACGTTAGATTTCTTATTATTTTGCTTAAAATACTCCATTTGGGTTCTACAACTGGCTTTCAGATTGTAAACTAATTATTATACCAGATAGGTTTATTTTTTTTCAGCAGAGGAACTAAAAATAAGTTTTAAATAGCAACTTCTCATAGTAAATTTACTCCTGTTTATCTTTATACTGACCAGTGGAACAGCAGGACAGTCAGTTTGTTCTTAAAAGCTACCACTTCCTTATTAAAGGAAAGAAACAGTGCATTTGTTATTACTTATACTTTCATATTCCAAAATGACAAAAAAAGCCCCAAAGCAAACAGTGACAAAACTTTTGACATGTTTGCTTGCCAAAATTACTTAGTATAAAGAGAACAAATCCAAGCATCTTCTTGGCTAGAGAAGAGCCATCAATTCAAGGATAGTTTTATCAAGACTAATGTTAAAATGAACAAAGGCAAGCAAATATGTAAGAGATACAGGTTTAAATTGTTTTTACTGTTCCAGTTAGTATGACCAACCAATAAACCCCTACAATAGGGTAACGCTCAGAGGAGATGGGCAACGGCAAGGTGCCCGTGAAGCTCAGGAACAATACAGGTTGTGACTGATCATAGCTGTTGCAACAAAAGCTGACTTTATCTAAAGGCAAAGGAGACCAGGAGACCGGCGGGTGGCCTTTGTTTTAGATAAACAGCTATGTCAGTTGAGTGGATCAACTTACACCTCAGTTGAGTTGATGAACACTTACACCAGTTGATCCAAAGAGCGCGAATGCCTCCCTGAGTTAGCCAGACCAGCATGGGGGAAAGTATATATGTGGCTCAGCCCAACACAGAGTATAAAAACTGAGCAACTAACAGAAGAATTCTGAAGAGAGCTGGCTTCAGCTCACATATTCCTTCCTAGCAACTGGGGGTGCCCAGCATCAAGACTGTGAGAGTATGATAGAGACCAGTATTTCTCTAATGCAGAGATCACATTTGTATCGTGATTGAACTGTATATTGCAATTGCTTTATATTCCTAAGTATAACACAGCTATGTCAGTTGAGTGGATCAACTTACACCTCAGTTGAGTTGATGAACACTTACACCAGTTGATCCAAAGAGCGCGAATGCCTCCCTGAGTTAGCCAGACCAGCATGGGGGAAAGTATATATGTGGCTCAGCCCAACACAGAGTATAAAAACTGAGCAACTAACAGAAGAATTCTGAAGAGAGCTGGCTTCAGCTCACATATTCCTTCCTAGCAACTGGGGGTGCCCAGCATCAAGACTGTGAGAGTATGATAGAGACCAGTATTTCTCTAATGCAGAGATCACATTTGTATCGTGATTGAACTGTATATTGCAATTGCTTTATATTCCTAAGTATAACTTATATTGTGATTTCAGTATATTGCTGTATCACTCTGCTAAATCAAAAATCCTGTTTAACATCATATATCTTCAAAGTAGTAAATTTTGATATTAAACATTACACCTTCCATATGTGGAATACCTAAAAGAACCTGGTCAGAGAGCATTGGACTCTAACAGTTATGATAGCAAACTTAAGGTGGTACTTGGCATTGCCTTCAAAGATTGTCTGCAATGGAAACACTGAAAAGAAGGAATTAAAAAAATAGGTACAGTAACAGAAAACCCCTGCATGAGTCAATAAAATGCATTTCTTGATCTTTTGAGTACTAATAGTGCCCATTTCATAGTTTTTTTTTTTTTAAATGTACACTGCCTTGTCAGGCAATCATTTAAAATTATTAAACAGCTTTGTAACTTCCTACTATCATTTGCGTATGTTCTTTCAGGTATAAGGAGATCAGAAGATAAAACATGTGCATGCATACAGACAGTTCCCTATATTGCAAGTTCTTTGGAGTGGGATGGTATATTTTCATTGCATGTCTACATTCATAAAAAATAACAGGGCCTGAGCACTATCCTAGCAGAAGGGTCATCTATGCAGCATCTGCTAAAAGAACTGCTGTTTCCTTTTATACATAGTATCTCAGCAGAGAATTGTAACTTCAAATAAGTCAGTCATAAACACAAATGTCGTTACTAAGCAGAGAATAAAAACATCAACATTCTTGTATGTTAGAAATTAAAATGAGTATTATGAATCTCATGTCCTCTCCAATTATCTAATCTTATCATATTTTACCACCACAGCCATTACCAGTATCTGAAAAACCTTGCTGAGTACACAAAGTGTTGTTCACCTAAAAGCTAGCTGGCAAAAAACTTTGTTTTATATATGTGATGGCAATCTCCTCTTCCCAATTTAATTTGGAAGTTTATTGAACTTTTTATAAAGAGAAATAGTTGAAAATAGGAATACTTACGAAATTGCAACATTGCTTCCATCAATAATGATATGTTTTAAGTATGGTTTCCCAGGTTCATTTTTCAACTCCAGTCTGTATGGCTTTTTCAGAGAATCCATAAATCTTTGAACCCCAGTAACCGAAGGATCAATATGACGTTTGTATGGTCCCACTGTCTCTGTATCAGAATTTGAAGCATTTATTTGTGAAGACAATACAGTGCCTGGGGGAGGATTTTCAAATTTTGAAAGATGGGAAGGGCGCTGTTTGAGAGGTCTCTCTTGAGAAGAGCTGCAATGTCCTAAGTGGTCCTCAAGAATAGGATGACCGCTCTGTACAGCCGAGGGCCCTGCGAATTTCTGCTGAACAGCAGTTTTAGTCTTAGCTGAGATATGCTGCACATCTGAGCTCCCTCTGGCTACAAAATCAACATCCTTTGGAGCTGCAGCCAGTATAGCACTGCAAGCCACAACACCATCAGTTTCTATATCATTTGATCTTGAACTGCGATTCTTACCAGGGGAATAAGTATCTCTTTGTTTAAAGCATATAGCTGAATTCTTACTGGAAGGTGAGGCAGGTTTGCATACAAGCACATGCATTTTACCTTCTGCATCAACTTGTGCATTTGGTAATTCTCTTACTTTATGATGTTCATTTTTTATGTCCTTTGACGCATGATTGGATTTAAGTGTATTTTTACTGCTAGAAATGTCTTTGTCTTCTTGAGTTTGTGAATGACTTGCATTACCTCCTAATGGAGGATTTAGAGCTTTAAGCTTCTGAGATGACTGTTCAAGTTCTTTCTGAAATTTTAGATTTTCCTTTTCAATTTCCTCCAGCAATGTCAATGGTTCCACAGATTGTCCCAAGATACCAATAACTTTTTCTACAATATTTTGTGAATATCCCATTGTTCTGAAAAAGTTCACAAGAATCTTATATTCCATTTCCTCACTGATATCATCGCCTTCTTTAATAGAGAAATTGGGATCATCTGATTCACTGCAGCTATCTGAAAGCAGATCAATAACAGAATCCTTGTTGGAAGGATCACTGTGTGAGGCATACTTAGATTCTTGTTCATTTTCTAAAGAGAACTGTTTTTTAGGAAGCCTTTCCTCAGCATCAGAAGATCTTCTCTTACACGATTGTCTTTCTTTAGAAACCACTGCCTCTAATGGAGGCATAACATTTATGGGAACAAAACTTGTTTCAGAAGCATCAGAAAACACAGTGTCCATTTTCTTTGTAAGCTCAGTTACAGGTGTTCCAGCATTGTTTCTTGCTTCATCACCACCTGCTCTTCCATCTCTGTTCATAACAATTATTTTGGAGGCTTTATTCTGTAAAAGCTCTGTTGGGCTTTCAGAACCTGTAAGATCTATGATATCGCTCTCTACTTCAGAGCATTCACTTTGTGTGAGAGTTAGAAGTTCTCTTTTTAGTGAGCTAGGCAAGATCAGTAAGTCCATTGTATATTTGTCTGCATGTGCTTCCACAAATTGTCTGAATTGCTTTTTCACTTCTGGTTCATTTTCACTTACTAAGCTTTCATTATTCTCAAAAAGCTTCACAAATTGCTGAACTTGACTTTGAGCCATAACAACAGCTTCTGCACCGCCCTTAATACTGAGTAATCCTGTTTCCAGCACTGTTATGTCAGCACAGGTATCCTGAATAAGACAGTTGAGAAACAGGTTCCGTGCACCAGCAAAAATGCAGTGCATGTCCTTTGGGTAGTACTCCTTTTCTTCTAGCTCAGGTTCACAGAGTCCCTTAATATACTCCTAAAAGGAGAGAAAGACAGCAAAGTAAACTACTTCATTTGTGAAAAGCTAATATATATTATTATGTAAAATCAGTTTTGCTTAGGTCAGTAATGGACAAGTACATTAGCAAATAAAGCCAGCTTAGTGAAAGAAATATGAGAAAATAAATATTGCCAGTAAACTGGATAAGAGAGATAAATACAGATATTTAAAATTACTTTTAAATAGATTTTTATAGAAGACTTTCTTTGGCATACCATTGTTTATAAATAATTTTAGTCCAAACTGTTAGTAGCACTGTATCTAAGTTGTAGCTTTAACACACCACATTTTGTACTTAATGACTGCAAAAAATTCTTACCGTTCTTGATATCAGAGCTCTCACTATGTTGAAGCACTTAGGGTCATACAGACAAAGCACAGACATTGCCATTTTTGTCTCAGATTTAAGAAAGGCTGGATGGTTAAAAGTCTTGTATCTGTAATCTGAAACTTTGTACCTAATATTTACACAATATGTAACTCACTCTGTTTTGGGTTCCAGCACATTATGCTATACACAGAATTCAATTAAAATGACTGATTAGCTAGAATAGAAACAACTTTCAATTACTATGCTTCTTTTTTTACTTTATGAGACTAAGTCATTTCAAACAGATACTAAAGACTATGTCAAAAATCAAGATAAGAAATGCAAGCATTTAGTGTTTAAAAAGACAAATCTAGGAAGATTTATTTTACCATCCCCATTCTCTGGTCATGAACAAATTCCTTGCACTACAGTAATTCTAGTCTATAAAACTGAACTTGTAAAACAGTTTACTAAGGAAATTTCCAAACAGGGGCCATCACAGTGGTAACCATCCCATTCTTTTAAACAGTTATTATGTGTTAGCTTTCCTATACTTATTAATGACAATAAATATAATACATAATAATAATAGTAAATCAAGGACTTCCCTTCCATGGCATGGCACAATATAACTAGTAGCCATAGTAGCATTCATTGAAAGATATACTACAGAAAAACTACACTAAAAACCGAAAGTTTTCTAGCCTTACAATGAGACAACTTTCAAACTTAAATAGCTTCAAAAGATTATGCTATCGAAACACTAACTGAAACTAAAATAGAGTTTAAAAATCATAACAATATGTGCATGTTAACTTTGAAGTGTTTACTGATTACTGTTTTGTTCTACTCAGTATGCTACTTTAAGACATATAAACCTAACACAAACAATTTTAACATAGTTACAGCCAACCTCTTCCAGGGTTGTCCTTTCTTTAGGAAACAAACACATACACTTTACCACACAGTAACAACATCTATCAGAGTTCAGATAAACTGAATTAAATATTCTATATTTTAGACTACGACTGACAAAAAGCATCTACTTACAATAGGTATTTATAACCAAAAGCAAATCACACCCAAAAAGCCTCACAGCAAGCACCTTTTCTCATGAAGCTTTGAAATGCAGTATTTTGAAAGAGCAAGTGACACTGACAAATGATTAATATACTCCAGAATCAAGCTATTTCTGTGTTAAGCATGTAAAGGAAAGAATCATTCAAAATTTGTTTCATAATAGATAAATAAATTGCATTACTATTTCTACTACCTAGACATTACCACGAGAAAAGTAAATTCACTACATTATCTTGTTCTAAATATAGATTGTTCTTTTTGACAAAATATCTGAACTTACTATATCTTCTTTCAGGTAGCATCGTTTTTCTCTGAGCTCTTGCGTTCTGCACTTTACATCATCTAAGGTAGTGAAACCAGTCTCTAAGCTGCAGTAGCTGTATTTGCAGAAACTCCAAGTACACCAAGTTTTATTTTTTATTATCTTTCTGTCTGCATGGAAGGGAAGTTAAGCTTCTCTTTTAAATTGAAATGAAAACCAGTACAAGGTAATGAACAATGTAACACTACTCAATGTAACTCAGTGTTACTACAATTTAACACTGTCTAACATCTGAGTTACCTTAGCATAGATATCAAGCCAGGATGCTTCAAAACCTTATTAACACAAACCACTGTTGTAGTAACAAGATCCAATGGATTACTTTTTGCATCTTAGTCATCACATGACTGATTTTGCAGAGCAATAGGACAACAATGAAGCAATTATAAAAGACTATTCAAGATCTAGGAAATTGTCCGTACATTTATTAAACAGTACTGAAGCTGAAATGAGTGTATTGCCTGTGATTGATGAATTAAAGCATACATTTCTATCACAAGAGTTTTTCAAGGGAGACAATAACAATGTGCAATTGTTCATATCTCCTAGTCAAAAAGCTTTGGTTCCCATCTGGAGAGACAACAGGACAAGTCAAGTCTCCCAGACCCTTTCAAGGTGATTCCCATTGGAATGGGAATGCAGGCAGCAACAGTGATCCTTGAAGCTTGAGACAACATATCCAAAGAGCAACTTTGTTACCGCAGTTTCTCCGAACTGGATTCAAACTAGAAATGAAGAAGCATTACTATCCATTTCTGAAACATACAATTACCAACTAGCAAATTTTAGGCCACATAGTTGAAGGATATTGTAAAGATTTGTGGATAGCTTTTAACAGCAGTCACAGCAGTAGAAAAAAAACACATTTCCAACTACTCCACTGCTGCCTCATGCAATAGTGAGACAGTAATTAGAGCTTACCTTCTATGAAAAATGTATTTTACTTTTGGAAATTAAGACAAGAGCTACACAAAGGATAGGAGGGAATGGTGGAGGACTCCATCTTCATTAAAGGTTTCAATTTTCCTAGTAAGACAAATTTAAAGTGCTCCTTTTTCACCACGTCTTTATGTATGCATTGGCATAACTTCTGTTTTAACTCCCTCCTCTTAAGGGAGGGAGTTAAGACTTAACTAATACCTAACTTCCCCTTTGAAATTTTTAACACAAGCCCAAGGAAGTGAAGCTGACTACCAAATCTCAAAAGATAAAGTTTGTGATGCAAACTTTCTGTGCATAGCACCTGCGTATGTCTTTAACTATTATTTTTCTCCCCTAAAGAGGGAGGGATATAAAGAGGGAAGGACTTATCACAAGACAGCTACTGAAACCTGAACAAAATGCAGTGCAAGTTTACACTGTTGCTCGGTTCCTTTCAGCTATAGCCATTCTTACTATGATACCTACACATTTCACCAGGAAGTACTCATATATAGTTCTCAACAGCTGATGTTGGATGCAAGCCAATAAGAATCTGCTCAGACTCTAGGAAGACTCACACATATAAACGCATACTAATTTAATGACAAATCCCTAGTTTTCTGTCACAATACAGCAAGCCACTGCCTACTAGAGCACTACTACAAGTCAGCTAACATTGTTTTAATTATTAGATTATATAATTGGGCTCAAGGCAGAAGAAGGCAATTAGGGGAAGTAGGCAAAAAAAAAAATTTAAAATCCAGTAAGAACTCAACTGTATCTCAGAGAAAGCAGATTCAAAAATAAACACCTTTTTGCTGGGAGTCAAGGCCAACATAGGATTCAAGACAAAGGCTGCTATTAGCATACAAAAAGTTATATTCTTGTTATTACGTTACTATGCTGTTACATTATTATTCCATATTATAAGAAACTAGGTTGTTATAAGTGAGAAAAAACATACCATGACAACACCTACATTAGGGAAGCTTTACTAACATGCCTCAGCCCTGCCTGGATATACTTTTGCAATTCTGCTAATATGCTAAAAACATAGTATAGTCTCTTTAAAAATGTTTTCCTATAAATATTTTGTATTATTCTATGAAAACAAGCAAGTAGAAAATTGAAATTTGCTGTTTTTCACATTTTAATTTTTTGGGGTTAGGGAATATTGTACTGCAGCTGCCTGTACAGGAAGAATATCTTTTTATGATACCTGTAACAGCTTCTGGAGTTTCTGAGCCAATACACAGGCACAATAGTTTACAGTCAATTTCAGAGCCAATTAAATTCAACAACCTTAACATTCGAAATACTTCACAAAAGGAAGTCTTATAAACTACACAGTTAAGGAATCAAGCTTTTGATAATGGAATGTCGAGTCCAACAGGGAATTATGTCTTAAAATAAGTTGTTAAGAATCCCCACTAATATAAGAAAATAGGTGTCTAGGTTTACTTTTTGAGAACTATTTTCAGAACAAATAGTGCTTGTCATATGATTCCAACAGGTATACTTCCGCTCTAGGTCCACTAGGAGTAATATTAATTACACCATTACAGCTGAGTCCTTGAAGAGCATTAGCCATACAAATGATTTAACAATAAAAAATAAGAACATTATGAAGATTACTACACAGCAACTCATGTCACAACCAAAGACACCAAGAGAAGAGACTAGACAGTCTTTTTTTTTTTTTTTTACACTTCATTTTAGCTTATTTTTGTTCCTTCTAAGCATACATTCAACCTGTCTGCTCCAGCAAACAGCCTGGTGAAGTAGTCCGGATCTGCCAACTTCTATGCTAAGGAGATACTAACTGCCTCAAACTGCACACAAGAATTCCGTTAGCAGGCTACTACACCCCACACAAGAAGTTATGTTTACGAAACAGTCACGAAACATGGCAACACCCAATCACTTTCTAGCGATTTCTTGACTTAGGGGAGAAAAACGAGGAAGAGAGAGAGGCATTCGGGCCGCCTTTGCCAACACCGAGACCAGCCCTGCAGGTATTAAAGGCCCTCCCGTTCCCACACAGGCGGGCCCCAGCAACATTTCACGATTAGGTGACCCGATACTGCAGTCACAGCGAACTTTGCACTTCGGCGTTTATTCCCCTTTACCTCTTCCCTTATTTCCACACCCCCGGAGGCACCCTGGCACCTGGGACACACCTATTTGCCCAGGCAGGGCAGTTTCTACTTCCTCCTGAAGCAGTGGCGCTTTTCGCCCGTTCTTCCTCCTCCTCCCCGCCCGCCCCGGCGCCGAGCGGCACCGCAGGGCCCTTCC